TACGGGAAACCAGTTTAAGTCAAACCGGGTTAACAGGGCGGAACCATCTATATAACGAGACAAGTGAAAACCAATTTTTTCAGCAACGACTGAGCGCCACTAAAGCTGTCACATGAGAAGGTAGGGGAAAGCACCTGAAAGCTTTTGTTTAATGAGTTTTTACCCAGGCTTTTATCTGATGTCTGCTTGACGCTTTAGTAGTAGGACTTAACATCTACGTAACGTTGGGCTAACGTAGCACTAAATGGAATATTTAACCGTGGGTTGGTCTGTGTTTGCAAATCTGTGTTTGAGGTTTGTATATAATTTGTACAGACTGAATTGACAAATATGTTTCTTGGACACGAAGACGTACCAGCTGTTCGGCAGAGTTAAAGTCAAACCAGGCAACATGTACTAAGTGGCAAATGATTCGAAATACAAATGGTCAACTATGGATTACATACTTTGGCTTATTTATTTCCCCAGCCGTAGAAAACTCGCACGCCGTGAGGGCATCATATAGTGAGGTCGTTTCCCGAGTCTGAGAAACTGCGCGCGTTTGTACTGACCCATTGAGGGACGAGTATCGTCAGAGAATTCAAAATCGTCAGGGAATTCTTCCTCAGGGCTTTCGCCATATGCTCTTCCATGTGCATTGGACGTCGAGCATAACATAACTGACGCAAGAAGGATGCAAATGAAGGCTCTGTAAGAGGCAGACATGGGCCTAAAAAAGAAATGTAATTAATGGAATCACTTATATATTATGATACACAAATTTTCACGGAAGTTTAGCATAGGAATCCGGTAACCTCTGAACTCAAATCATCCCCTAATAAATATGTTGCTGTTACAAACGCCTTTCCATTCAACTTCAGTGATTAAAGAAACAAAGGCTAAAAAGAAAACAATGGACTTCGAAAAACAGAGTTTTAAAAGTGCTTTAGGGTCACAAATTGGAAAACTATTTCTAAGTATCAAATGCTGTTTAGCTTAATTTACGTCCAAATTATTTTGAAAGCCCTTCATTTTGAGTAGCTTAACATTGACCCGAAAACAATCTACATTTAATGTAGATCAAAATCAAAATCGATACTAGCGTAGCCTAAAGGCAGACGAACACTGGAGTTTGCTCATTCACATAAAATTAGGACAAAATGGGCTATTTAAGATCACCTAGATTTTAATCCGTAGTGTCTTGGGACAAAACAATGTTTCAGAAAACTACTAATGAGTGTTCAGCGTGCTGCTGAATCTTATCAGTAAGACGTGGTGGTCAAGCATTTAGCTTACAAACCATCGTGTCATGGAGTAGGACGGGTTTTTATTTACTGGCTTGTCATACAGACTATCAACAATAGATAAAACATGTCCAGGATTTCTAAGCACACACAAGCATACCACTGTCAGACATAAGCTGAATTAACGTCAAACTGACTTACTTTTTGTGCATGCTACCATAAAGCAAAATCTTCAGCCTTCGTCCAAAAGTAACACACTGGAATTTTCTCTAATATGCTCCTGTAAGTTTAGGCCTAGCACAATTTTGAATAAGCGCTGATGACCGGTCGTCCGCTTTTCATTTAGCAGCACGCATGGCAGTCGGATGACGTCGTATATGTTAGCGAACGCCATGCGCCTATAAATAAAGGTTAATTAACTCAAGTGTCTCGAAGGCTGAATGTGTAATACGTTGGATTATACTCAATCTGATCCCCATGCAATCCATTATATTCAAATTCACTCGTCATTTGGTAAAAGGATGCGACTATATTTTCCAGAGAGAGCAGCTCAGTGCCTCCAGAACAGCATGATAGTTTCGGGTCACTGAGCTTCATTCCTGCACTTCTCGCATTTGGCTGCATGGATTACGTTGGTTAGTGTTTCTGATCGTAACCGGATGGCTGCGTTACGATCGGAACGCACCCATGCACTTGTGCAATTCAGTATAATACTGTTATTCCACCTTCATCGCTTAATGATGTCGGCTGTTTGCATCAGCATTGTCTTATTTGGAAACAACAAAGCTTGTAGTCGTTCCTTCCTTCGAAGCGAAGTAGTCGCAAAATGGTGTGGATAGAAACGCGACTGAGAGTCTTTCCGTCCATTTTCAATTTTTAAAAAATGTGGTTTTAATGAACTGGCTTTCTATACAGCCAGGTTAAAATGATTGATACATGAAGTGGGATTCCATTTGGTTCTTACAACTAATCCGCAGTAATCATCTCAAGTACCACCCATTTTGAAACTCATTAGATAGCATTCACACCGCAGAAAATGTTCTTTTAATTCTTAGGTATAGCAAGCAGAACTTCAAGCAGTAAATGAGAAAATAATGGAGTGACACAGAAATCAGTTGCTAAAGGATGTATCGCAAGGTCCATCAAGCCCCATTGGCATTGGTCTCTTTGGGCTGTAAATCGAAACCTTTATGGTGTTGGCTGGTTTCGAGCACATTTGGAAATCTGCAGAATAGGGCGTAAAAACAGTTCTAGAAGTCCATTTGGTTTTGCGCGTACGCTTGCGACAGCAGGTCAAGTTCATGGAATATATCAGTCGAGTAGCATGCTACGCTATATGTCAACGACAATAGTCGTATGCAAATTCGAATACATTATACTGTTTTGTGCATCTGTTTTCGGCTTCTATTTTCTTGTGTGCATACACGTTGCTGAATGCATAAAACAGCACTCTGCTCATCAATATGCATAGGCTGTTTGATGGTCTATCGGAAAAGTGCAAGAAAATCAGAACTTGGTCTGCATGGTGGCACGCATTTTGTGCGTATTCAAGAGAAATTTAGTTTAAAGTTTATTGGGCAGACGATCATAACCAGGCGTTGCTGGCAGATAAGGATCTATTGAGAAAACCACGTAAAATTTTGTTGAGACTGGTGGTAGAGAGGAAACTTCCTTATCAATATGCAGTCTACTCAGTGAGAATAGATTAATCTTTTACAAAAGGTTAGGTATAAAGCAATTCAACAGCAAAAATAATGTGAAGCCTGGACGAAGTTAGAATTAATTAATCTGTTGTGTTGAATAAAATTGGGAAAGGACATATGTTATTACGAAGTAGATTTTCACGTCCGCATTTCATTTCCTTTTCAGACTGTGGTTGTGATAATAGATTCTGCTAGTCTGACCGGTGCGACCCAGTGCTTTATTGTTGAGGTAGTCAAGTGACCAGGCAGTTCCTAAAACAATTTCTTACGGAGTTTATATTTGAGATATTGCTTGGTTGCGGTTTGGCAGACCCTCTCCGCGACTTATTCTTGGTCCCGTGGCTTTTGCAGTTTGACAGACCTTCTCCGCGACTTATTCTTGGTCCCGTGGCTAAAAATTGGTTGTCAGTATTCAGAATGAATGCACTGTCAGAACACAAGTGGAAGGGAACAGGATTGTGGACTGCAATACGGGTGGCCTGGCTTGACTAAGGGATTGATTATAACACATGAGTAACAATGTGATTTAAATTCCACAGTTCGATTCCTCTACGCCACCTGCGGAAAATTTCCACGTAATCTACTCGTACTATAAAATCACCAGTGCTACCTGTCTAAGGAGGACATGCTACCTTAAATATTCCCCTCCAGTATAGAGCACCTTTTGTCATTGGGGTGCATTAACTCAGCCCCATTATATAACTCACCTTATCCATACCCAAGTTTGTTCTAGTCGTACTGATATGGTTTTACATTTCTTTGTAGGATATACCATTAGAAATACAGAGAAAACGAAGTATTTTTTGCTGCACACCAGAATTGGTGAGCATGACAGGAGGATAAAGAAACCACCAAGGAATGCGGAGGAATAGCAAACGCTGGTCAAAGATCAGCGATGGTGTTTCATAACTCAGACACGCCTTAGAATATATCTGGAGAATGTGGAAGTTTTCGGACCTGGAACTACGATTCACACCCCAGCGTTTGATAGCGGAGGCGGTGAAAATCACCAAGAATCACAGCGTGAACAGAATCGAGGGCCAGTTAACGAGCCTATGGAAAGCGGTCTTAGATAAGCCGAGTTGACACGTGACTGTGTGTGGTTATCAATCCACGTAACAAAAGCAGGGGTTGGAAATCCCAACCCGACCATAGTTCATTTGAATCAACCTTACACAACTATCATAGCTTATCCACACAGACGGATGGGAAGTCCAAACGACGATAAAGAGGAATCATCACGTGAACCGAACCAGAAGAACTAGACCATAGACCGGACCCAAACCCATGTAGACCTTCCCACACTCTAACACACACACACACTCTAACACACAGAACTCCTCGGTCGACACCTAGCAGAGATTCAGCCCTACTTAACTGATTGGTTCTCCTTCCACTTTAAACCTCGACCAACCTCGTAACCAAGTCGCTTGACCTAACGAAGCATTTTTGTCAGAAGCGAACGTTGCCCAGCAATAAATCTGCCGATTGTTACCAAACTTTTTCGAGAATCACTTGTCAGCTTTTCGGAGAGCAAGGTAATAAGCAGCTCTGTTCTACGAGTACAGAGAGTTCAAAAAGTGGAAGCAGTTGTCACCCAATGAAAAATATAAGTAGTCCTTTTGAGTGTAGTAAATGGATTAAAATAACCTGAAAGGTTTCCTTGTTTGAAGTTTTCGGCTACGGCCTATCAGTTTTTGACAAAACCAACAACCTCAGATGATTGATAGAATCTGACGTTAGTTCAGCATGCATTTTTTATTTTTATGTTCGCCCAACACTGAGTGTCTTCATGATGACAAAGTTTTATGGCGTAATCAGCAATCTCTGTTTTTACGGAGATATCCTACGCACTCAAGTCTCTTTTTGTTGACATTTTCCAGGATATTTCGGCAAATTCTTAATTGAAAGTCCAATTTACTGTAAAAGAGTGAAGGGGTAAAATGGCGGTATAATATAACACCCTTTGGTGTTCCATTCTACATTTTCTCATTCAACAATCTGTCGCTAATTGTTTATTCGAGTCTTTGAATATACAGTAGATAGCCTGGTTGGATT